CGGGCGAGCTTGGGGCTGCGGGCCGGGGAGAGCACCGGGGGTGAGGAGGGCGGGGAGGGGCGGAGGCCGAAGGTCACCGAGCGCGGGGGGCGCGGACGGGGGGACTCCGGGGACCGGGCCGGGGCCGCCGTTTGCCGCCCCATCCCGGCTGACGCCTCTTCTCCCGTTCCCCCGGCCCCGCGCAAGGTGGACGCAGCGTACGGCGACAATGGCCTGGACTCCGGTAGGTGCCGGGGCCCTCGGGCCGCCCCCCGTGACCCTAGCGTGTCCCCCCGCGGCGGCGACAGCCGGTGACACCCCCCCCACTCTCCCATCCCCCATCACCCTGTGACATCTCCTTCCAGCGCTTTTCATGGAAAACGCCCGGAAAAGCAGCATCGTGTCACGGGCCAACAGCATCGGCTCCACGAGCGCCTCCTCCGTCCCCAATACGGGTGGGTCCGGGGGGCTCCTCCTCTCCCTACGGGGGGGGTCTTTCCACTAACGGGGCTCCCCAGCCCGGAGTGGGGCTTCCCAGCCCTCAGCCCCGGGCCGAGGGGGCAGGATCCCGGCCCCGGGAGGGCTCTGCGGGTTCCAGCAGCGTTTGGAGGAGGGAAGGGGCCGGGGAACCCCGAGGGAGCTGCCGGCATCTTCCTCCCGGGGGGCTGGCAGTGCCCCCGGGGTGTTTGTCCTTGTCCTGACCTGCTGGGGCTGCCTGTTCCCCCCCCACCCCGGCCATGGGGCTGGCCTGAGCCTGGAGCTGTCACCCCCCAACCCCTCCCCGTGCATCCCTGCCCCCCTGTCAGCTCCCACTCACCCCAGTCCCGTCCCCGCAGATGACGAGGACAGTGATTATCACCAGGAGCCCTACAAGGAGTCGTACAAGGACCGGCGCCGGCGGGCGCACTCCCAGGCAGAGCAGAAGAGGCGAGATGCCATCAAGGTACCCCGGGGGGGCTGCCTGTGCTGCCACTCACAGGTCCCCAGGGCCCAGCAGCACCTTCCCCACCCCCCCTTTGGCTGCTGGATCCATCCTCCCCCTCCTCCAGCTCAGCTCTGGCTGCTGGGAGCTGGGATTTGGGACTTGACACCTTTTTGAAAGAACCACTCCCACGTGGGTGAACTCCAAACACCTGAGTGGTGGCTCCGTTTCCCCACAGAAAGGCTACGATGACTTGCAGGCCATCGTCCCCACCTGTGAGCAGCAGGATTTCTGCATCGGCTCCCAGAAGCTGAGCAAGGCCATTGTCCTCCAGAAAAGTGAGTCTCCAGGGTGGGGAGAGGGAAGGGAGTACTGTCAACCCCCAAAACGCCTCACGAGAGCCGTGCAGGGGCAGAGGTTTAGCACTTGGGGACCTTCTGGTGTGATGATGCTCTGGGGGAGCCCAGGTGCTGGCTGTTTCCATCCAGAGAATCAGGGCAGCTGGAGCTGATGCTGCCCAGGTGTGGACACCTCAGGGCATTGTCTTCCACCTTCTGTGGGGATCTTGGGGGCTCGTGTCTGCTCCTCAAATCCTTCCTCTGTGTTTTCATGCTCAGCCATTGACTACATCCAGTTCCTGCACAAGGAAAAGAAGAAGCAAGAGGAGGAAGTTTCTACTCTCAGGAAAGACGTGATGGCCTTGAAGATCATGAAAGTGTAAGAGAAGAGCAGTCGAGCTGCTGCCCCCCTCTTCCTGCTGTTCTCCCCTGGCCCTTGCAGGGCTCCGTGGATGCTCTTGGTGCTTCATGGGCAGCCTGGCACCCTGAGCACCAGCCCTGTCCCTGTCACCGTTTCTCCTCCAGCAGCTCGTTAGCACAGGTCTGTCCCGGGTCAGTTGGTGCTGCCGCTGAACACAGGGTGTGGGGTTTGTTTCAGGAACTATGAGCAGATTGTGAAAGCTCATCAGGACAACCCTAACGAGGGGAAGGACCAGGTCTCCGACGAGGTGAAGTTCAATGTTTTCCAAGGCATCATGGATTCCCTCTTCCAGTCCTTTAACGCCTCCATCTCGGTGACGAGTTTTCAGGAGCTCTCAGCTTGTGTCTTCAGCTGGATCGAGGAGCACTGCAAGCCCCAGGTGGGTGTGGGGGAGCTGCTGGTGGGGCAGAGGGACACGTGCCCTGGGCTTTTGGGGGAGTCACTTCCCAGGAATGGGTCCATTCCTGCCCTGGAACAACTGACCGTGTCCCCCCTCTCCCCCCAGACGCTGCAGGACATTGTCATCGGGGTCCTGCACCAGCTGAAGAGCCAGCTCTACTGACCCTCCCTGCAGCGCCGGGGCCACCGCGGGGACGGGGCACCTCCTGCCCAGTGCCAGGCACCAGGAAGGGCCCGGCTGTTGGTAAAACCGCTCTCAATTATTTATTTTGTTAACTAGAAACCAAACGGGGGCTGCGCGGCCGCCGCTGCTCCACGGGTGCTGTCACTGGCTGCTACCAAATACTTGTAGGGACAAGGGCACCGCGCGGCCACCAGCGCTCGCTGCGCCTCCTGAGAGCTTCTGTCTACACACCCCCCTGCAGCTCCAGCTCCACCCGCGCTGCCAGCCCTGATTTGAGTTTGTTTCTGTTCTTATGAATCACTGAATTCACTCTGAGGTGTCACAGCATGGGCTGTGCAGAGGGTGTCACACGCTGCTGTCGGTGCGGGTCATGGTTGTGGCCAACACACACCCCCCCACAGCCAGTAGTGACGGCTCCAGGCTCCTCCCGCGCGGTGACACCCACAGTGGGCTCTGTCCCCTGCCATCAGGCTCCTGCTCTCACTTTTGGGGGCAGCAGGTATTTCCTTCAGGCTGTTTTTTCCCTCTCCGAGGCAGCTCAGCTCCAGGCTCCGCAGTTTGAGCGCTGCAGCACGAGAATGTTTAAGCTACTGCTTCTATCTGCATTTAGTAGCATAAAAAAAAGCCCTCCTTGTGGGGTTGATTTTTATACAAAATTATTCTTCAAAGCTGCATTTGGGTGTCCTTTTCAATGCTGTGTGATGGAAACCCCCATGTGTAACCCTGTGCTGATGGAGCACACCAGGGGGGTGGTGTCTCACCAGGAAGGTGTTGCCCTGTGAGGAAGAAGCTCCTCTCCTGGGGGCTCCGTGGCTGAACGGGGGGCACAGCCCAAGCCCTGGTTAATGGGAGGAGGGGGAGTTTTACAGACCTCACGTGTGAAAGCAACATATTTTTCTATTGTGAAAAATAATGAAATAAATTTTGCTGAATGTTTTAATGTGGGGTTTTTTTTTGCTTTATTTCTGAGTTCCCCGGAGCCTTCCCCTAGAGCTGCTCAGAGATGCATCACTAGTTCCTGGGGAGCTCGTTACCCCCTCCTGGCTCTTCCTTTCCCCACCCTGGGGAGCCCCAACCCCAGCCCTGGCCCCCCATGAACAGAGAAAACACCACAGCAAAGCAGAGCTGAACCAAAAACCCGTGTTTAATGGGTCGTTTTCTCACATACCCCTCAGTGCTGCTTCGAGGAGCGGCTGAAATGGGGTTAGAGCTCTGCAGCAGGAACAGGCACTGGCCCATTTGCGTCCCCAAGGCCCCTGCTGCTTTGACAGGAACACGAGGGGCTCTTCCCCAGCACCCCCAAACCTCCCCCAGCCCCACAGGACGCCCCGACCTCGGCAGCAATAAATACCCTCCCCTCTGCAGGCGAGGCAGCGGGAGGGCTCAGCGCTGAGACATTCCCTCCAACCACCCCTCCAGCTGTGAAGCATTTTAAAACAAACGCATATAAACGTGGGACAAACCCAAGCCCTGCAAAAAAAAAGAGGGGAAAAACCCCCCCAATCCAACAGCTGAGTTTCAGCATCGGCTCCTCCTGCCCTGGGGGCAAAGACCTCCCCCCAGTGGCTCAGACAGCCGCCGGCAGCGTGACATTGTGGTCCTCGTCCGTCTCGATCCCCACCTCCTCCTGGAGAAGCACAGGGCTCAGCAGGGGCTGCGCCAGCCCCACAGCGTGGGCAGAGCCCCCCCACCATCTGGGGAACAGCCCAAGCCCCCACACTTACAAAGAATTGCTTCTTGCTTTTGGGGTACCCCTCCAGGATGGCCTCCAGCAGCTCGGTTGCCTGGTGAGACGGGGCACGGTGAGGGCTGTGGGGCAGCGCTTGGGGACTGTCCCCCCAAGGGCTGCCACAAGCCAGCGGGGCTGGGGACAGCGTGGGGACAGCTCTAACACCAGCAGAGCCCAGTTTGCTTCCAGGGACAGGCAGAGCTCGGCAGGGACTCAGGCGTTTGGGGCAGAAACACGGCCTTTTCATAGAATTGTCCAGGCCGGAAGGGACCTCCAAAGGCCATCTAGTCCGACCCCCCCGCAGTCAGCAGGGACACCCCCAACTAGACCAGGTTGCCCAGGGCCTCGTCGAGCCTCTCCTTGAATATCTCCAGGGAAGGGGCCTCAACCACCTCCCTGGGCAACCTGTTCCAGTGCTCCACCACCCTCACAGTGAAGAACCCTCTCCTCATCTCCAGGAGATCCTGCTGCAGTTGCAGCCCAGAAGGCCAATCCCATCCTGGGCTGCATCAAAAGCTGCGTTGCCAGCAGGTCCAGAGAGGGGATTCTGCCACTTTACTCTGGTGAGACCTCACCTGGAGTATTGTGTGCAGGTCTGGAGCCCTCAGTATAAGAAGGACATGGACCTGATGGAGAGGGTCCAGAGGAGGGCCACAAGGATGATCAGGGGGATGGAGCACCTCTGCTCCGAGGACAGGCTGAGGGAGCTGGGAGTGTTCAGCCTGGAGAAGAGGAGGCTCTGGGGAGACCTAATAGCAGCCTTCCAGTACCTGAAGGGAGCCTACAGGAAGGCTGGGGAGAACCTTTTTAGAAAGGCCTGCAGTGACAGGACGAGGGGCAATGGCTTCAAGCTGGAGGGGAACAGATTTAGACTGGAGATGAGGAGAGGGTTCTTCACTGTGGGGGTGGTGGAGCACTGGAACAGGTTGCCCAGGGAGGTGGTTGAGGCCCCATCCCTGGAGATATTCAAGGTGAGGCTTGACGAGGCCCTGGGCAACATGGTCTAGTTGGGGGTGTCCCTGCTGACTGCGGGGGGGTGGGACTAGATGGCCTTTGGAGGTCCCTTCTGGCCTGGGCAATTCTATGAGTCTATGACCCCCTTGGTACCCACGAGTCTTCCCCAAACCCGCACAGCCCCGTGATGGCACCCAGCGCGGCCGGAGAACACTCCCTGCTCCAGAGCCTTTGCTCAGCAGAGGCAGGAGGGAGCTCAGCTCCAACAGGGACTGCTCCCCGCGCTGCCCAGCAGAGCCCACGTCCCACTCAGAGCGCCAGTGTCACCCCAGGGCTGTCACTGTCACCACCATGGCACTGCCCACCCGCCCCGGCACGATGGCACAGCCCTTACCATCCTCTTCCTCCTCCTCCACTCCTTGCAGTACAGCTTCTGCTCCCGACAGACCTGCAAACCACGCAACAGTGAGAACAAACCAGGGAGGTGCCCGGTGCCAAGGACCCACCAGACGTCCCAGCCCCAGCCAGAAGGTGATCCAACAGCACAGAGGGCTCAAAAGACCCTGCAGGGACACGACCCTCTGTGAAATGTCACCCAAGAGAGGAAAAGATGAACTGATCAAGTGGCTGGTGACCACGGGAAGCAAAGGTTGGCCAGGAAGAGGCAGCCCAGGCTGGTCCCCAAGTCACCCCAGAGAGTTGCCACTATCACAGACACAGCTGAGGCTCAGCACGGGCTCTGGGGAGCAGCCGGGGTCCCCCACAACCCCCTGCCTCTGTTGCACTGGTGTCACAGAATCACAGAATCTTCTAGGTTGGAAGGGACCTTAAAGATCATCTTGTCCAACCATCAACCTAACTGACAAAAATAGACACCCACACAACAAACAAGAAGCATCACCATCACTAAACCAGACCTCCCAGCACTACATCAACCCATCTTTTGAACACCTCCAGGGATGGGACCTCAACCACCTCCCTGGGCAGCCCATTCCAATGCCTGATAACCCTTTCAGTGAAAAAATTTTTCCTAATATCCAGCCTGAACCTCCCCTGGTGCAACTTGAGGCCATTTCCTCTCGTCCTGTCGCCTGTGACTTGGGAGAAGCCTGAATGGATTGGGCTGGGGAACTGGGGAACCCAGTGGAGGCTCTGGTACAACTGGCCCAGCCCCTGCCAGCTCTTTACCTTCTCCTTTTCCTCCGGCGTCACGTGGTTGGTGGCAGATTTCATCCTCTCCAGCTTCTCCGTGTACCCGGCGCAGTCCTTCCTCAGCTCCTCAATCTCTCTGGCCACCTCGGGGGTTGTCATGGAGCTGGTCAGGTCCTTCAGCTCTGGAAAGGAGACACCCATCACCGGCAGGGCCAACAGCCCGGGCACGGCCGCCCGGGTGCCTGCGGGTCCCCAGGTACTCCCGGTGCCGAGGGGCCCGGCCGGGCGCACTCACCCGCCTCCATTTGCCGGCAGCTCTGCTGCAGAGCCTGCACCTTGGAGGAGAGCGCGGCGATGTCCCCGTCCAGGCCGCGGAGATCGGCATCGCTGGCGGCCGGGAGCTGCTCCTGCGGCGAGGCGGGGGGTCGGCGGGGGCGGCTGCCGGTGGTGGGGGGCAGCGGCGGCGGCGGCACCCGGGGCTCACCTGATCGGCGAAGTAGATCTTCTGCTTCCCGTAGGCCTTCTCGCGGATGCGGCCCTGCTGCGCCAGCTGCTCCAGCGCCTTCACCACGGCCTGCGGGACGGGGAACCGTCAACCGGGCCCCGCGGCCCCCGGCCCCGCGTCCCAACCCCGGTTCCGCTCACCGCCTTGCCGAGCCCGTGCTCCCGCTGCAGGTTCCCGAAGGCGTCCTGGGCGCTGTACGGCCGGTTCTGCTCCCGCAGGTACTGCAGCAGGACGGCGGCGGCGCCTCCTGCGCGACAGGCCGCCGGTCACCGAGACCCGCGGGGGCCGCCACGGGAAGACGGCGACCACCCGGCGCCCTCTCCCCCGTCCCGCCCCGCCCC